AACCAGGCCGGCAAGGGTGTTAGTGAGGGATGACCACAACAGACAAGTAGCTGCATGGGGCAACCCAGGACAGCTGGGAGATTAGTGAGAGACGCCCAAATGCCTGAACAGCAGGCTGTGTGGAGTAACCAGACCAGCAGGGGGTCCATGAGGGACAACCAGGTCAGCAGGGGGTTCAGTTAGGAGTGGCTAGGCAGGCAAGGAGGGGGCAGTTGTGGGTGACCAGGCCGGCAGGGGGGGCAGTTAGGGGCGATCAGGCCAGCATGCAGAGGCAGTGAGGGGCAATCAGGCTGGCAGGCAGGTGAGCAATTAGGAGCCAGCAGTCCAGGATTGCGAGAGGGATGTCCGACTGCCGGTTTAGGGCCGATCCCCGGGATCAGGCCTAAACCAGCAGTTGAACATCCCCCAAGGGGTTCTGGATTGGAGAGGTTGCAGGCTGGGCTGAGAGAACCACCCCCCCCCCCCACCCCCGGTACACGAATTTCATGTACTGGGCCTCTAGTTATAACATAAAAGTCCAAAGAAGAGGAGCTAACAGATAGTTGCAGTATTTGCAAAAGGCTTTGGTGGAGTTTGAGATCATTGGTACAACTATGACAAGAAGTCAGAGGTAGGGAAAGATTGCATTTTCCTGTGGATATAGGGGTTGAAAGCTGTAGAGAAATGGTAGGTGGTTGGGAAAGGAGATGAAATCCTATGGCCCAGGTGAGGGGAGGTAGCCTGCAACCCAGATCAATCATCAGAATCTCCAGGGATGGGGAGCAGAGGCACCAGTAATATTTAAAGCTACTCAGGAGATTCCAATGTGCACCTGTGGTTTTTATACACTGTATACTCTGTGCTAGGCAAATTAGAGTCCAAAATGTATACTAATAAAAGGGTAATATGCTAATTAAACCGGGTCAACTGGACATCTCCCGGATGTCCGAATTCCTTCCTGACAAAGCCACGGTGGTGGGGGCCGAGGCAGAGGCGGTTAGGGGCGATCAGGCTGGCAGGGGAACAAGCAGTTAGGGGTGAGATCAGGCTGGTGCGGGGGAGCAAGTAGTTAGGGGGTGATTAGGCTGCCAGGGGAGGGCAGTTGGAGGCGATCAGCCTGGCAGGGAGGGCAGTTGGGGGGCAATCAGGCCAGCAAGGGAGGGCAGTTAGGTGGTGATCAGGGTGATCAGGCAGGCTGGCACAGGTGGTTAGGGGCAATCAGGCTGGCAGGCAGGCGAGCGGTTAGGATCGGGCCTAAACCGGCAGTAGGACATCCCCCAAGGGATCCCAGATTGGAGACGGTACAGGCTGGGCTGAGGGACAGCCCCCCTCTGTGCACGAATTTTGTGCACTGGACCTCTAGTCTAGATATAAAAGTAAACCAAATTGGCTGGAAAAATGTGGTACTGAGTTAAAACTATAAAGGAGAGCAGTTAACCCCAAGATCAATAGAGGCACTGGGGCAGATTTTGAGATCAAGAATTAGGGACCCAGAAATAGGTAAAAAGTCATGAAGATAGACACATATCCTGGAGTGAATTTCATGGATCCATATCCAGAATGGGGTCAGGAGCTAGAGTGGGTGTGGTATTTAAAAGTAGTTATCTTCCATGTTGTTCACTTGTGGGAACTCGGCCACAATTCTTTTAGATGAGGCAATGGTTTTGCTGTTGCCTTGCACCTCTGCTCTGTCTCCATGTGGACCCCTGCTTTTACAGGTGTGAGCCTAAATGTGGAATGGGCTATGTTTGGGGAATTTCAAGTAATCCATTTTGTTTGCAGTGCCTGGTTGGCGTGGACAGGTCAGGGAGGAGGATTTTCTTCCATATGATATACAATAGAAGCGCCTTGATTTAGCAGCAATGAATCTTAGAAATTGGATTTTGGCACGACAGGAGGCAGGAAGATCAGTTAGGTGGCCAAGGGAAGAGAGAAGGGCCCGAATTACGACAGGGCAGAGGGCATCAATTTCTATTCTAAACCTTAGTTTTTCTCATTTGTTAAAGTTTAAACATCATTACATTATTTCTTTCGTGACTATACTTCTTTGGCTAATCTCTTCACCTTTTATCCTAAAATCTGATTTATTATAGGCAAAGTAAGCTAAGATTATGTAACAAAACTAAAAAAAGTATGTTTACCAAACCATGTGGATGGACTTTCCAGACCACCATCTCTGATCTGGACCACCATATGTATTTTCCCCCTTTTGTCAGAATCATTCCGTCATAGTTGCTATAATGAATGCCTTTCATTGGGATGACCAGTTGATTCAAACAACTGGAAGTAGAATAGAACGAGTAATTTAGTCAAGTGGTAGTGGGTTATTGTTTTATTGAACTAGCAGGTTTGATTTAATTAAATCCATAGACAGTTGTATAGGTCTTAGAGCAGACTAAATGACTAGAAGGGATATTGGGTACACATATCTGTACTCACAGTTTTCCCTCAAACACTAGTGATAGAAACAAACCAAGTCTTTGCACACTGTAGGATTACACTGTCAAGACTTTCTTTTAACTTTATTTTTATTGTTGACACTGTTACAGATGTTCCCATTCTCCCCCTGCCCCTTAGCCAACTCCACCCAGCCCCAGCCCTCCACCCGCTTCCCTCTGGCCCTCACCTCACCACTGTCTGTGTCTATGGATTATGCATATATGTCCTTCGGCTAATCTCTTCACCTTTTATCTCTAGTCTCCTCCACTCCCCTCCCCTCTGACAGCTCTCAGTCTGTTCCATGTATCCATGCCTCTGGTTCTATTTTGTTCATCACTTTATGTTATTATTTATTTATTTAAATTTATTTTTATTGTTGAAAGTATTACAGATGTCCCCTTTTTTTTCCCCATTGACCCCCCCCTCCACCCCACCCCCACGTCTCCGCCCCTAGGCCTTCACCTCACTATTGTCTGTGTCCATAGGTTATGTATATATGCATGTAAATTCTTTGGTTAATCTCTCCTCACCCCCACCCCACCCCACCCTCCACCTTGTTTTCAGCTCTTTCTGATTCAGCCTTACTTATCAGGGAGCCGTATTTTTAGGTGATTTTAAATGTTGCCTGCAGGTAAATAGAGGCGGAGAGCCTCCTCTGGGCAGGGAGGAGAAGCTGGTCACAGCTCCTGGCTTTTTTGCAGATTTATGCCTCTCTTATGTATGGAGACACTGACTTAGTGTGCGGGCCAAATTAAGTTTGTTTTCTAAAAATAAAATCTAAATCTGCTGAAATCAAATCTAACTAGATTTTAAGGGAAAAAATATCTAAATGGTGTGGTTTCTTTCCCTCTGGCTGAGGGGATATGGAAACTTATCTAAAAGGGCTTTTTGAGCTGTGGTCTCAGAGACTTCTAAGAAAAACAGTGACCCTCCCCTTTGCATGCTGTGCCTGAGAGAGGAGTGCTTGCTTGAGTTTTGCCTCATAGAGTGAATTGAAGGCCCATGATGGTGAGAGAAATATGAGAAAGGATTCGGTTTACAGGAAGATGTTTTTCCCTCCGTATGTGGGTTTTGAGGTAAGTGGCAAAAGGCTTAGAGGAGGCTGTGTTGTAAGACTTTTCAGTAGATACACAGAAGGACTTGCTGTCCTGCAGATTATGTGACATCATAAGTCAGAGCTAAAGAGGCAGAGTGATGTCACCGAAATAGGAGTCTAGAGTCATAGTTTCAAGTCCTTGTCTTGCCTTTTCTCAGGGGTGTGACCTGGGTGAGCAAGTTGCTTAAACTTTTCAGCTTGAGCATCTTCATCGTTTTGTGTTGATTGCGAAAAGAAAGCAGCTGGACTATATGATTTCTACATTTCTATAAATCACCAAGTTCCCTTGGATGGGAAATTCTTATCACTAAGAATCTTACTTCATTCAGCTTGATATCACACTATTGAGAACCCCTGCCAGACCTCTGCTATACCCAAAAGGCATTAAAAATTAAGCTCATGTCAAGGTCCTTATCTGCAAGGTAATAATGTGACCACGACTGATCTTGAAGTAATTAGAGAACAATATGACATAATCAAATCAATTTCCAAAATCTATAGTACTG